AAAAAAAAAAAATAACTAGATATAACTCGTTATTACAAAACCAGAAATCAAGTCCACCCCGACTCCACTTCACCATCCAAAGGCTGAATGTAATCCACCTGCGGCAGGTAGCCTCTCAGACAGCCCCCAATGATCCCTACATCCTGGTATTCATACCTCAGTACCCAGCCCCTTCCCTTGAGTGTAGGCAGGACATTTGATTTACCTCTAAGGAACAGAATAGAGCAGAAGGAATAGAATAGAGCAGATGGCATGTCACTTCTGAGATGAGATTATGAAAAGACCATGGCTTCTGTTATAGGTGTTTTCTCTCACTCTTGGGAAACCACTGTCATGAGGTGAGGTGGCCCTATGAAGAGACCTCAGCAGTGAATTTGGAAACAGGTCTTCTGAAGCCTTCTAACTTAGGTGGGCAGATCGAACCCCCGTCAAACCTTGCACTGACCACCCTGGATAACACTTTATTGCCGTCACGTGAGAGACCCCAGCCAGACCACTTGGTTAGACCACACCCAGAATCCTGACCCATGGAAACTATGAGATAATAAATGATTGTTATTTCTAGCTGTTAAGTTTTAGGGGTAATCTGTTACACAGCAATAGATAACTAATATTACACTAACATACCATCTCAAGATGAAAAGAATTACCCAAAAAAAGAGACTCAATACCCTCTTTCAGCAATAGAATATCACCGAATTATAGATTCTCAAGATAGAGAGAAGACTCAAACAGGCCAGTATGGGGGATCACAGGTCATAAGAAAGCCAGCTCTACTTTGGGCAGCTCTGGACAGATATAAAATTCTTACTTTTCAAGATACAAAGTTTTTCCAATATCAACATATCTAAAATTTGCGCAATCTGTGATTTACACCATCTTTGGGCAGACTTGACTTAGTCCTCTCAGCCTTTTGTGAATTGGGATTATTTTACTGATCAAAAAAAAAAAACCCAGAGGTTTGTTTAACAAAGAAGATCAAATACTCTGCCTAAAGATCCGGAACTAGTAAACTGAACAATATTCTAATCTAGTGGTGTTCCGCCTTCAAGTCCAATATGACTTTTACTCCCTCACGGCTACCCACAATTACACAGTAACAAAGTGACACTTGGCAATACAGAGAGAGCTCAGACCTGAGGAACAAGTAAGGTGGCCAGACAGCTTTCCAAGTTATTCTGTCCTACCACCAGAGACAAAATAATTCCCTAGGTCATGCTAACAGTTCAATACAATCCCAGACAATGTGTGTGTGTGTGATTGACAATGTGACAATCCACCACTGAAAATTCGGTTTTCCACAGAAAACAGAGCTTAATTCTGCCTCTGAAGGAAATACATTCTAACACATGAAAAGGAAGGAAACATAAGTAATCTGGGCTCTAGAAGGCAGAAGTGACTTCTGCCAAGTCTGTATGATTGCTTGCTTTCCTCTTCGCCTCTGGACACTGATCTCACACCGTTGCTGCCCAGCTTTGGCAACTTCCACAAGAATGTCAAGACGCACATTAATGAAATTCCAATGTTATATATAAAGATCACAGGAATGACATCTCAGATTACAGTTCAGTCACTAGCAGCACCATGGGGAGTGCTGCCCTTCAAGAACTACTGCATTCTGTTAGCCCATGTGAACAGCAAATGCTATTGGGTAAAAAGGGGTTTGTGACAATAAAGACCAATGTGAAAAGGCATACATATTGTGCTTCAACTTGTACTGAGAAAAGGAAACCTGGCAAATGACAAATACTTGATATTTTAAAAGCCCTTGTGCACAAGTAACAATATGCTTATATTCAAAAATGGCCCCGTGCCATTAGCAAGAAGGAAATAGCAACAAAAGAACTGGCACTCATTCAAGGAGAAAGTATAAAGCTTCTTGTTACTCTTTAATTGTTTAATTAGGCAAATCAGATGAGCTTTGTTTCAAATGTAGCAACTGAAAATTAAATGGACATAGGAAAGAAATTGAATTTTGGAAGGCAGGATCTTTTTAAAGCTGAAAGAACTCTTTGAAGTAATCTAATGAAATTATTTCATTTTACAGATGAGAAATTGAGACCCAGGAAGACTGACAGACTTAACCAAAGGTCATAACACTATTCAGAGCAGAGCTGAAAGTACTCATTCACTCAGCTCTTCACAGAGTTTACCATCGAGGGGGTGACACTGAGAAGCAAACACTATATGGTAAGAACTAGAGTAGGGATAAACACAGCATGGTCATAGAAAACAGAATGAGCAGAAAGCCCCGTCTTGAAAGGTTAGGGACGACTTTCAGAGTCGTGGTATCTGAGACCTAAAGATGAATAAGCATCGTCCAGATAAAGGCTAGTGGGGAGGGAAGTAGGAGGAAGAGAGGAAGAAGAATGTTCCAAGCAGAGTAAGAGTAAAGTCCTAGAAGAGTACTCATCACTTAGCTAGAACTGATCACAGCAAGAGCAGGATGAACAATAAGAAATAGGGAGGGGTCAGAATACTGAAGGCCTCGTAAATCACAAGTCGTTAAAGAATTTGGACTTTATCATAATGGCCTGTAAGACAGTTACTGAAGAGACTGAAGTTTAAGAAGAGTATTAGTTTTTACGATATTACAACTTACTATAAAGGATGGAATGGAAAGCTCGAAGGAAATGTTTCAATCATCCAGGCAAGAGATGAAAGTTGCTTCCATTAGGTAAGTGGCAGTAATAATGGAAAAAGGTGGATTAAGTCAAAAGATAACCATTATTTGAGCATTTATTACCAGAAATTATTTGATGTTAAGAGGTTCATATTTAGAAGATTACACAGAGAATCAAAAAACCTCTTAATAAGAAACAGTTCTCCACTGACCACTTACCAAATGAGTAACCCACTCCACCTACCGAGAGAAGAGCTGGAGAAGAGTCAGAAGAGCACTCACATCTATCCCCCAACAAATCACCAAGGGCAGTCATTTTCTGACTCCCAGATGTTGTAAATATCAAGAGCATAACACAATTTTAATGCAAATACAATGCAAAAACACTTTTAAAAGAAACTGCAAACCTTATGAACAATTTCATGAGTTCAATGATAGTTATGTTGGACGATACTAGAATCATGAAATCGAACAAGGATCGGGGAGAGTTAGACTAATTTAGAATTAAAGGAGAGAGCAAAAGGAACATAAAAGCCACTTCTAAGGAGAATGATTTGTGTATCAATCGATTCCAAGAGGTCTTTGGGAAAAATGTTTAAACATCAGAGTAAGTTTTGTAAAAATGCCTCGCTTGTGGAAGGTCGTATGTTTTTTAAGTAAAAAGTATGACAAAAATCAAGAAAACTTCATTTTTTTTAGCCTAAGAATTAATACACAGAGGTTACAATTACAATCTAATTTTACTAAACGGAAGATAAACTGACTTTTTAAAATGTTCAGTTTTGTTCCTCAGTTCAAGTATTTTCACAAGACTCTCTTAACATTTGGTAAAAGTGAAGTGCTTCTCCTTCTAATGAAAAGTGACCTTTGTCAAGATGTACAATATATAGCCTAGGCAAGAGAAGATGAGCAGCGAGGTGAACCCTGATTCCAATCTTGTCTCTGCGACCACTGTCACATCTGTAAAATGGGGACACTACCATTTGCCTTCAGAGAAGTAAATGAGATCATGTACATGAAGCGCTTTGCATGGTACTTGATTCTCCCGGCCTCCAGCCTATGGAATGGATACTCAATAATTACCTGGGCCATTTTAAGTCTGTGAATTAACTCCATAAAAGATACTTCCTAGTGTTTGTTTAAATGGACTGAGGTAATAACAATGAAACAACACAACAGTGAATATTATGTCTTTTAAATCAGGCACATCCCGGGAATAAGCATGAATGATCAAGAAATATTTCTGTGGAAAGCCTGAGGAAGAAATTAATACCTTATCGAAATTCCTTCTGGAAATTAAACAAATGAGATTTCAAGGTTAATTACTGACACGTGAAGAACAGCACAATTATTTCCTTGGTAGTGAAATGTTTTGTAATGCCCCTTAAATTCAAGAGTTATCTACAAGTGGTTTTTAATTATCAAACTTTGCTTATTTATCCTTTTGTTTTAAATTTCTAATTCTTTTTGCATTTTGCCAAAGGAAGTACTCTACCTGATTTTCTACTGTGGCCAGTTTCACTTAATAAAGCATGCTTAAATGGTGTGTGGAGTTTTAGAAAGCAAAGTTGAATACCAATAACCCTTTGAGAGAGTAGAAACTAGGAGAAAACCCAACTTCCTTTACAAACACATCATGGACTAAGTCAAAGTTGTGTCACCTTAGAAGAACAAATACTGTTAAAATGTCTATTCTACCCAAAGAAATCTACACATTTAATGCAATTCCTATCAAAATACCAACAGCATTTTTCACAGAGCTAGAACAAACAATCCAAAAATTTATATGGAACCACAAAAGACCCCAAATAGCCAAAGCAATTCTGAAAAACAAAAGCTGGAGGTATCACAATTCTGGATTTCAAGTTATATTACAAAGCTGTAGTGATCAAAACAGAATAGTACTGGCACAAAAACAGACACATAGATCAATGGAACGGAATCGAAAACCCAGAAATAAACCCATAATTATATGGTCAATTAATCTTTGACAAAGCAGGAAAGACTATGCAATGGGAAAAAGAAAGTCTCTTCAACAAATGGTGTTGGGAAAATTGGACAGCCACATGCAGAAGAATGAAACTGGACCACTTTCTTACACCATCCACAAAAATAAACTCAAAATGGATTAAAGACCTGAAACCAGAAAAAATCCTAGAAGAGAGCACAGGCAGAAATGTCTGTGACATCAGCCATAGCAGCATCTTTCTAGATATGTCTCCTGAGGCAAGGGAAATAAAAGCAAAAATAAACTATCAGGACTACAACAAAATAAAAAGCTTCTGCAGAGTGAAGGAAACAATCAACAAAGCTGAAAGGCAACCTACTGAATGGAAGAAGATGTTTGCAAATGACTTATCTAATAAACGGTTAATATCCAAAATATTTAAAGAACTTATATAAATCCACACCAAAAAAATGAAATAATCCAATTAAAAAAAGGGCAGACCTTCTCCAAAGACAAACAGATGGCCAACAGACACATGAAAAGATGCTCAACATCACTCATCATCATGGAAATACAAATCAAAACTACAATGAGATATCAGCTCACACCTGTTAGAATGGCTAAAGTCAAAACCACAAGAAACAAGTGTTGGTGAAGATGTGAAGAAAAAGGAACCTTCTTGTATTTTTGGTGGGAATGAAAACTGGTGCACTCTGGAAAACAGTACGGAGGTTCCTCAAAAAGTTAAAAATAGAACTACCCTACAATCCAGTAATCCCACTGCTGGTATTTACCCTGAAATACAAAAACACCAATTTAAAGGAATATATGCACTCATATGTTTATAACAGCATTATTTATAATAGCCAAATTACAAAAGCAGCCCAAGTGTCCATCAACAGATGAATGGATAAAGAAGATGTGGTATATATACACAATGGAATATTATTCAGTCATAAAAAGGAATGAAATCTTGCCATTTGCAAAGATGTGGATGGAGCTAGAGTATAATGCTAAGCAAAATTAGTCAGAAAAAGGCAAACACCAAATGATTTCATTCATATGTGGAATTTAAGAAACAAAACAAAGAAGCAAAGAAGACAAAAAAAAGGGGGGGGCAGGGAGACAGATCAAGAAGTCCACTCTTTTTTTTTTTAAGATTTCATTTATTTTTTGAGAGAGAGACACAGCGAGAGAGGGAACACAAGCAGGGGGAGTGGGAGAGGGAGAAGCAGGCTTCCCGCAGAGCAGGGAGCCTGATGCGGGGCTCGATCCCAGGACCCTGGAATCATGACCTGAGCCAAAGGTAGACACTTAACAACTGAGCCACCCAGGTGCCCAAGAAGCCAACTCTTAACTATAGAGAACAAACTGATGGTTACCACAGGGGAGGTGGGTGGGGGGGGGATGGGTGAAATAGGTGATGGGGATTAAGGAGTGCACTTGTGATGAGCACCAGGTGTTGTATGGAAGTGCTGAATCATTATATTGTACACCTGAAATTAATGTAACACTGTATGTTAACTATACTGGAATTAAAATAAAATTTAAAAATAGCTAAAAAAAAAAAAAAAGTTGTGTCTTCTACTAAGCAAAGCTGTGCTTAACTCATCTTTATATTCTCAATCCCTACCACAGTGAGTAACAGGCATTCAATAAATTCTTGACTGATGAGAGAATAACTCATCACAAAACTACACAGGGCCCATAAAATTACTTCTTCATTTAAAAAAAAAAACAGAAAAGGAAAAGGAGTATTAAATAAAATATTTTGTTCCAGGTTGGCAACTCTATACAGAGTTAAATTGTCACTGGATTTTCTATCCTCTAGGAACTAATCCAATATCCAATCCACCACACCACCTCGATAGACTAAAGGGACCCTGAAGACTGGAAGAGACCTGGAAATAGCCTCTCTCTTCACCAAATTCCTATTGCGTGTCCTTACTAACTCTCTCATGGAATCACTGACTCTTGTTATAATATTTTGTGTTCACATCTTATCTCCCTTACCAGACCCTGAGCAATTAGAGGGCAAGGAGGGTCCCACATTTCTTTACATTCCCCTCATAAGCACTTCATAGCTTTTGTTCTTTCTCATTTCCATTTCTCTCATACATATTGAATCAATTAACAAACGAATGACTGTGTGCTCTATTCTGTATCCTTAAACAACATTAGGAAGCTAAAAGTAAATTAAAGTGATCATGAGTAGTCTTGATGTTAATCAGAAAAACAAGGTCCAAAATGTCAGTCAAACAAAAGGAGTCTGTGAGAAAGACAGAGTAGTCCAGCGGAGTCTGTAAGACAGTGGAAATCCTTTCCTTTGACTCAATCTGCTATAGGATTAGCATGAGGTTCTTCTTCTACACCTCAAAATCTCAAAGGCAACTGTGTGGTTCTGTGTGCCTCAAATCCCATTGCTTCCAGGTTCTGATGAATCAGGTGCTTAATCTATTAAATCCATGATTATCATGTGAGAGACTAATGATTTTAAATTTGAACATTGGTAAAAGAAATGATAGGAGGGATTAACAGTCTACTCTTCCTTTCTACCAACCACCAAGAGTATGCCAGAAAGGGTGGGGGTGGGAAGCTTACTTTGAGCAGCCAAGTGAGAACTGAGTCACGATATGGAACAAATTTATTCTTGTTTTTGCCAGCACTCTGATCTGCTAGGGCTGAGATAACCAGACCGAGGGTTGTGAGGGACCTGCATGGTGCAACAAACCGGAATAATCATAAAAAACTGAGAATATCAAATGTCACATTTTAGCACAAAAACTGAACATCAAGATGCCTCGTACCTGCATGAGAATAGCACTGTTGTCAGCATTTTGCTGCTCAGTTTAAAAACACATAAACTCTAAAAGCTGATATCCTTCTAACACTACTGCAAGCAATAAAATTGCTTAGCTCAATTACTTTTTTTCATTTTTGTAAAGAGCAACATGAGCCATAAACCTCTAGGTTAAGAAAAGACACAAACACCACATATCTTAAAGAAAGGAAGCCACAAACACAATACAATTAATTAAAACTTAGTATAAAGCAAAAACATTTGCATGTATGTATGTGTGTATATGAGGTATCTATTTATATCATATGTATCTACACACATATCATACGTAATATCATTTATATATATGTATATCACCATTCAATAATACAATAATAGCATAGCATCTGGATGATGATCTTCTATGATCTCTAGTTGGTTACTCTCATAATGCATCCTTCTGGATTCCTGCCCACAAGGAGCTAAAAATTTAGCTTGAGGTAGAAAATATAACTATATGAAGGAGTTTGTACACAAAATTATTACTTTATAAAACCCTAGCTTCTTGGTATAAATGAGCACCACCACAACAGTCATACAAGGGAAAGCCCAATGGGACTAGTACACGAGCTGATGTTGGTTCAGAGAGTGACACCCAGGTTGAGATCAACAGCTGGACTCTAACAGACCATTACCTTCGTCCTTTTCCATAGCTTAGACCAGTGGTTCTCAACTGGAGGGTTACTGTGCCCCTATCGGGAGATGTTGGCAAGGTCCACAGACATGTTTGGGTTGTCACAACCGGTGGTGGGGAAAGAGAGGTGGCAGGTACTACCGCCATCTAGTGGATAAGGCCAGGGATCCCACCAAACATCCTACAATACACAAGAACAGTCCCAGGAACAATTACCCAGCCCCAGATCTCAATACAGCTGCTCTTGAGAAACCTCTGACTTGATTGTGCTCCTCAGCCCCATCAGACATCTCAACAAAACATAAAATAGGCTCGGGCCTATATATATATGAAAAAAATTCTCCATTATTTATTCATTATAGCTTCAATCATTCCAGCATCTTATTCTTTTAATAACCACAGAAGTTCCCCTATTTGGCTCTTAAATCAGTAAAATAGGAAAAACTTCTGGAAAACTTACTTGTTGATGTTGCTCCCCTCCTTCAACCTGTCCCCCGCAGCTCCGGTTTTCGTTGCTCGCTCACTACCAGCTAAATCAACCAAGCTCAGTTTGCCCACTTTCTCTCCAGATGTCTAGAAAGTAAATCAACAAATACTAATAAACAGTTAAAGAATACAGGAAGTCCTACATCTCTACCAATGAGTTCATTATCTAAATCCTTTATTAAAACATTATTTACTGTTATTTCAAAATTAGCTTGCACTGCTATAAAACAGTGTAAGAAGGGGCGCCCGAGTAGCTCAGTTGGCTAGGCGTCCGACTCCTGGTTTCGGCGCAGGTCATGATCTCAGGGTCCTGGGATTGAGCCCTGAGTTGGGCTCTGCACTCAGCAGGGAATCTGCTTGATTCCCTCTCTCTCTCTGCCCCTCCCCGTGCTCCAGACACACAGGCATGCACTCTCTCAATCTCTCTAAAATAAAAAAAAAGTATAAGAAAACAAATTTAAAAAAAAAACAGTATAAGAAAACTGTATAGTCTAATAGTAGATAGATACAAAATTATACCCAACTCTACTAACCCAGACAAGAGTGAAAGTTATCTCAGAAAATAGTGCCCCCCAAAATGGGACATTTTGAAGGGAACCCAATACAATTTTTTTTTAAAAGATTTTATTTATTTATTTGATAGAGAGAGGAGGAGCACAGAGGGAGAAGAAGACTCCCTGCTGAGCAGATAGCCTGACGTGGGGCTTGATCCCAGGACCCTGAGATCATGACCTGAGCCAAAGGCAGATGCTTAACTGACTGAGCCACCCAGGCACCCCAACAAAATTTTCATAGAGAATTATAGGAAAGCACTTATAAAAGACAAATTTTAATATGATATAAAACTGCTTAAAAATCTCAAAATATTTACCAATAACCCTGAGAGAAAAATATTTGCAACTCTCATTGATCTTAAAAAAATTAATATTTTACATAATAGGATCTCTCAAAAACTCAATACTTTCTTATATTTTTCATATTTTTTATATATAGTAATTCCCTTATTTCATAGTTTCAGGTATTAAATTTACATATTTCTCTAGTTATTACATAAATATACATAAATATATACTGACATTTTCCTTTATCAAAAATATTCCATAACATAATCACACACATAACAGATATTTTATACTTCAGCAGCAATACAAGAAATGTGGGAAAGCAGTGCCCAAATTTATAGACTGGTTCATTTCTTAAAACTTTTCTTTAATATATACATTTATATTTATTTCCATAAATAAACATGTTGCTAACAAAAGGATATTCAGCTTCCCAAATCAAAAGTACTTTTGGTTAAAAAAAAAAGTCATCAGTATGTTTTTTGTTTTATGCTGGAAAGGAAATAGAAAACAAAGAACTTTTTGTTGTTACACTAATCTTGCTGTGATGGTAAAAAAAAAGAAAAATATGCTTTCAGCAAATGAAAATCTTGCCAAAATATAGCATTTTTGCCAGCATGATTATTTTAGCTTCTGGTATTTGAAACTGATTTGCTGGGGGGGTAGGCATCATCATAAAATATGCAAATATTCACATAAAAAGTAAGAGGAAAAATGAGAAGTTTTCAGTGCAGTAGAAGCATATACATTTCTAGCTCTGTTTACTCTTCATAAGCTTCAAAATCAAATACTCAAAAAATCATTCTACAAATCTACTGAAATTTTATAGTACAATTTCCCCAGTATAGTTTATTCCTTCTAATACTTAGCTGTTTAGCAGAAGGTAACATTTCAAAACAATCTCTACTAAATCAGCTAGAGTTAACATTAGCTTATACAGCTAGCCATCCAACTTTAAAGCTCAAAAATTGCTATGGCAGAGGCTGTGAACCATCAGCATGTTTAACTTCTGTCCCACCTTCCTTTAGTTGGACAGGGCGGAACTGAAAACTACATTTCTCAGACTCACTTGCAGCCAGGGTTCAGGATGTGACTTAGGTTCTGCCAAGCAGATATACTTGCTTCAGATTTGGAAAGCAGAAGCAAAGCAGAGGTCATCCCCCTGGCCTGTTTTGGCTTTTTTCTTTTGGCAAGAGGATCATGGAAATAGGAGGTTTTCTACAAGTGTCTCAGGTTACATTCAGCTTCCCCTCACTATGAGGCAGCTTTACTAACTCCTGTGTATCAGGCAGGCCTGAGCTGATAGCTCAGAGGTAGTACCACCCTTGCTGGATGATATCTACATTGTTATTCCTAGAGATTCAGTCTAGAATCCATTCTTTCTCAAATGTTCTAAAACTCTGTAATCACCCAATCCCTCCATTAAATCCCTGTTTACCTACAGTGGCTTCTATGTCATGCTGAGTCCTAACTAATATATCCATGGCTGGCTAGGACTTTAAGAGTCATCTAACACCTGAAGGGAATGGAATATGATAAATCATGATCCACTTTAGAAATATTAAAAAAAAAAAAAGGTCAAGCATGTGAATACCTACCCCAGACTTCACATCATATAAAGTATGTGTAAGGGTGATTTTGAAGACTGCATGAGATCGACTACTCTCCTCATTCATGTTGGTGGCAGCAACTGTGCGAGACTTGTTACCTTCAGACATCAAAGACTCAATATCCTAAGTAGAAACAAGTCATAGACACACATTTCATTATCTGTCAAATATATATCAAAACTCTGCTATCCTTTGAAATGCATTACAAGTTTCACTACTCAGTCAACCACATTTGGAGTTTACACATTTATACTTTGCTTCTCAATGAACATTAAGCCCCACAGAATATAACAGTCAATACTGTCTCCGAAAACTCAAACAAAACACATTTATTTTCTGTAGGTGCCAAATAAAATAGCAGCTGTGACCGAGAATTAGAAAAATTTAGAAGCCACATGTGGAGACCCATAAGATGGACAAATGATTCGTGCCAAACTCCATCTAATCGAGAAATTTAGTTTCTTTAATGACAGAAGCAATAGAAGACAACTGTTAAATCAGATTATTTGAATAAGCAACAAACAAAAATAACTGTAACCCCTTCATGCAGGCATTACACTGTCACCACATTACTGTATTTTATACCAGACCTGTTTTTGAAAACAGAGTATCAAGAAACTAAATTTCTGCAGATTTACTACTTCATTGCCATTACTGTTAAAAACGAGATAGCATGATGCACTTGAAAGATCATGGGATGGGATCTTCATTTTTTCAAATGTCAGCTCTAAAAATGTAAGCTCTAAAAATAGTTACTTAACCAAACTGAATTTTAGTTTCATAAGTAACAATACAGAGCTATAACACAACCTACCTTACAAGGATTTTTAACGAGGAACAAGAAAGATGGTATGTATGAAAGGGTGGACCAGTTGTCTCCTCTTACCCTGTCTCATTTTCTTTCTAGTAAAGGAACCCATAGCTGAGCACCTTGCAGTGGAACTGAGACTACATTTCCCAGATGCCCTTGCAGCTCAGTCTGGCCATAGGATTAAGTTTTAGCGAATGAGACACAAAGTCATCTGGGAATTCTCCTTAAAGGGAGTAGGCATGCTCTTACACATCTTGGTTCTAAGAGCGTAAGATCTTGAACCATGAGAATAAGGGCATTACCACAGAGCTGGCTCTATGTGGAGAGCTGGAAGGAATCTAGGTCCCCAAAAGCATCTTTGGAGGCACTGTATCAGCCCTCTGACCATTCATTCTTTCATTCATTCATTTGTTCACGTAAATAATATATGAAAGCCACCTATTACATGACAGGTACATTTTGAATTCTGAGAATAAATAAGGAACAAAACAGAAGACAATTCATGTTCCAAAGAACTTAAATCCTATTATATTTTCCTGTTATTTGCAACCAACATAATCCTAACTGACACATATATATGAAAAACTTTGAAAATCTAATTTTCTATTTTGCTGTATCAGTGAAAAAGAATAATGTTTATAAAAAAATTCAATATGATCAATAAAAAGCCTCAAAGTAGAAACATTAACTACAAAGAGAAGTTTAAGTAGGCACCAAAATGGAAAAACCAACACAAAAAGTAAAATTCACAATTTTTTAGATCCATTCCAAATCCATTTTAGATCTATTAAATCTGACAATCCTGAGACTTAATGTAAAAGCTTCTACCTTATTTAGCCCACACTTATTTATTGGCCCCCAATCTGTTGTCTCATGCATAAACTCTGTATTGAGCCTTTTAATTTCTTAAACAAGCAGAATATCTCTTTACACTTTCCAATCTCCTCCGAGCCTTCAAAAACATCTGATCTCTCTCCAATGTTGTATAAATAAGTTCTTAAATGATCATTATTAAAATAACAATACCTACTAACATTTATATCAAACCCTAGCATTCTCAAAGACTTTTCACATTATTTCATTCGATCTCCTCCAGGAAGTCTTCCTAGACACCACCCATCCCAGATACCTACATGTCCCTTTAAGTTAGGTACCCCCTCCTCCAAACTACCATGAATCCTAAACATGCATTTCTCACTGCTCTTAAAATCATGTTGTTTTAGAACATCTTTATAATAACATATATAAGCATCTTGAGGAAATAGACCATCTCATTCACTTTTTATATCCTCCGCACCCAGCACAATGTCTGGCACATGACAGGTGTTCAATACATGTTTACCAAATGAAGTATCTAATGTTTACTAAATAAGTATCATTGACCAAATGATAGAAATGATTAATGAACAAAAAAACAAATGGACCTACCTCATAACATAGTCAAGAAAATAAAACTAATTTCCATTTTAAAAATGGGGACAAAGAGGCTTAGTGAGGTAGGTGATCCAGAGTCATACAAGAGTCACACAAGAGGATTAAGTGTCACCAGATCAACATTCTCTGACTCTTAATTCAATGTACATTACATCACAGCATCTCACTCCACCCCCATTTCCCCAACACGCAAAGCCTGATGGATCCACACAAAGCAGAACTGGAAGTTTGAAAATGAAGAGAATCAAAGGCCAGTGAGTGATCCTCTCAAATTTAGAAACAGACTTTGAATTCCAATTACCCAATTCATATGTTTTATTTCATTAAATCAATGAAACCATAGGCAACTTCATTATCTTATGCACTACTAGGGAAGAAAAATGCTGCTATATATAATTTTAAGATGCAATTGTAAGGAATATCACAACTTTAGAGCTCATTAAAATATGAAAAAAGGTATGCTTTGCAAATGTGTACACCTTCTCTCAAAAGTAAACTGTCCAAATAGCCATATATAGCTCTTTAAAAAAGATCTTTATAAAAAGTAGCTTATTAAGTAATGCTACAGTTAATTTTTTTTAATTTCAAGAAAAATAATCATCACAAATTAAACAAGAAATAATCTGCTACAGTGAATTTCATCAGTTTACAGAAAAGAGATGATTACCTTGTAGCTTGTGACAGCCAGTTTGGAAAGTCCATCGACATAGGGTCCCAAAACATTGTGCTCTCTGACTTTTAACGTTTGACGACTTCTGCTCATTAAAAAGAAAGAAAGAATTTTAAAACAATAACCTGTTTTTAAAAGGACTCAATAGTGCTCCATAAAAATATATACTGAATTCAACAAAGATCCCAAGTAAAAAGAACCAACTAACTTGATCTAAGAAGATAAAGCAAAATTTAAAATCTTGACTGGTAAGAAAAACTTCATAATGTGGTAAAATATCACATCACTCAAAAGGGTACACTGTGGGATGTCTATTTACTACCACAAAGAATGCAGAGTCAAATAAATACAAACAATCTACTTGTCATTTCACAGAATGTGGTACAAAGAACAGAAACTCAATAAATGTTAACTGTGCAAGAGAGAAACCTCAAGACCAATCTCAGTCATGAATAAAGACAAACAACAGACTGAATTTAATAATGACTTAAAAATATAACATTAGGCTGATCCCAGGGCTACTGGGTTGTTTTAACGTGGGAAAAACATTCATGCCCTTTACCACACTAGACTAACAGATTGACTAAATGGGGGAAAAAAACCACATTATTTCAATAAATGTAGTGAAATGGATTCAATAAAATTAAATACTTATTCATGATTAAAAAATAAATAAATACCACTTACAAACAAATAAATAAATACCACTAATAAACTCAGTAAGTGGCATCTGCCAAAAACCTAAAACATACTTAATTATATTAACCAAAAAACATTAAGAATATTCCTTGATGATTGTATGGTAAATGAATTCTATCTCAAAAAAGCTCTGTAAAAAATATAAACATTACAATGAAAAAAAAATATTTGTTGATAGTGAGATTGTAAGTGATTCTTACTTATGAACTTATTTTCTAATGATTTGAAATCCTCTACTACCCTAGGATCAGCCACCAAAAACTTCACTTACTACTATAAAACTGTACACGAAATAAATATAGAACAAATATTTGACTTAAGTCTGATCTCAGGACATACTATATCATAACTTTTTCCTTTCATTTTTCCTCTTCTCTTAAAAAGATACTGAATTCATAAAATTAGTACTTGATTTAAAAAAACTAAGTTCCCTTGGGGTGCCTGGATGGCTCAGTCGGTTAAGCATCCGACTCTTGATTTTGGCTCAGGTCATGATCTCAAGGTTGCGAGATTGAGCTCCATGTTGGGTTCCATGCTCAACTGAAATAAATAAATAAGTCTTACAAAAAAAACAACTAAGTTTTCTCAAATAGTCTTTCACTAAAAAGGGATCGCCCTTAGAGTTTTTAATCCATTCACTTTGACTCTTCAAAAACAATGGAAAAATCCTCAAGAAACTTTCTGGAGGAGACAGCAGTAGCAACTAGCACTTTACTGAGCACTTACTAAGTAAATGTTCTAAGACCTCAGGTATATCATCCCAGCCAATCACCACAACAGCCCTTTGTGATATTATGTAATGTTATCATCCCCTCGGTACAAATGAGGCCTAGAAAGCATAAGGAACTTGCTCTGTAGGTAATTAGAGGACCTGTATGCAGAGTTATGTGAACCCCAAGCCCATGCTGTTCATTACTAATGATACACAAGACAAACATAAGAAGAAATTACTAAAGACTCCGAGCAAATTGTAGATAAAGTTCAAGCGATTCCACACAAGCACTGTGGAATAACAAAACACAGAAATGAATTCAGCTAAGCATTTCTGGCAAGAGTAGGTCTGGGATCTCAAAGGAAGAGATGCTCTCCACAGAGGTGAAGGTGCAAGGATGAGTATTCAGGGCAGAGTCGGGAAAAGTACAAGGACACAATATTCAGCAAGATGTGGGTACCTAGGCTATAACCTTCCTACCTCAGAGGCCTCCTTTTGTTTCCTGTTTTGACTTTCACGTTTGGTGCCCCCCAGCCACACTGGACAGCTGGGTCACTCTCCAAGCAAGTGATTTCTCACACCTCCATGCTCTAGCACAGGCTGTCCCCTATGCCTGAATGGTTCTCACCTAACTTAGTGGACAAACTCCTTCTCAGCACAAAAATCATCAAGCACTTTCCATGGAATCTTCTCTTCTCTTCATTCCCTCTTTGCTCTCACCTATTTTGTATACGCCTCTTTTCACAAAAGCATTATTACATTGTATTATAATTATTTGTTTCCAAAACTCATTCCATCCACGCTGTGAGATCTTCCTTTCCAACTTGCAAAGGGCCCAGCACATAATAATGATCATTGAACAGATGTTAAGTTTTACAGAGAAACACTTAAGTACCAACTGAATGTCACTGGGAAAGGCCATCATCTTTGTCAAAGAAAACAGATGCCAATGAGGGGTTGACACGTTTTCTTGATTGAGCATCACCACGATGCACTGCTTCTAAGACCACCTTTCTTTGGTCATTTTCTCACCCAAACATAACTAAATGTCCCCTGGTAACTCCGCACTCTCTGTAAAACCTCAGCTCACTTGGCTCTCTGACCTTATGAACACTGTTCTTACATCCATAAGCCACAGGCCGTGGTTATTATCGGTTTCTTTCTCATTGTGGTTGCACTTCCTTAAAATCTGACTCAGAAAACTCTGTGCAATGGACAGATTTCCTCAGATATGTCTTATCTTCCTCATTAGGTTCAGTTATGACTACAGAGTAAGAACAGCATTTTCTTAGCTTTCTAATACTTTCGAACCACTTCTCTTTCAAAGTCTATGCCGTAAAATGGGACACTCTTTTTCTCTGGGAATTTTTAAAATGAACTATCCTAAAGCCCAGGTTTTAAATATCTGATTATGCGTCTCCCTTACTTCATAGCCTGCAAAGAAAAAAACAGCTAAATTCCATCTGAAATTTCTTGATCTTTTTTTTAAAAAGAAGAAAGAAAGAAAAAACCCTACTTGATTAAGGATACCAGTCTGGTATTAAGTAACTTAATTTTCATTGCATATTTTTTGTTTGTGGTTTTGGATATACCTGAGAAAAGCAGCATCAGGCAAATACATGCATTTGGCAATACTTCCCTGCCCTAACTCAGCCCTAAATGCAAAAGCCAGAACTGAATGCAGGAAGCTGCTCAATGTGACTAAAAACAAAATCACAAGGACAATAACTAGATAAACAGATAAAATCACAAAGACAATCACTAGATAAATAACTCTCTACCAGAGTTCAATATAAAAAATTTCACTTGAGTCAATTTCTAAGTCTGTTTTAGTCCACAATGCTATAACATTAGTTTCCAAAGTCCTTTACCCTTTGGGATCAAGAAGGTCTCTAACTTTTTCATTATAAATTTCCATATAGGACACTTCTACTTTAAAACTCTGCTCTTCATTTTCCTCTTTCTGAGTTCGTTCAAAGAGTCCACTACAAAGTCTTGGAATTAATCCAGGTTGGTCAGCTGTGCCCATCATGGTATAAGATTTTCCAGATCCTAAAAAGTAGAAATCATAGTTATCACTGTGTCTGAGAAGTTTAAATACATAACCCTCTTTCCATTGCTCATAAATAAATCACTAGCACTTAGCAAAATGCCCAAAAGAAAATAAGAAATATATCCAAATAAAATGACGAGACTAATAAATACAGAAGCTTTCCTATTACAGATGTAAAATCTAAAGTAAACATCTTTTAGGAAGAAAATAAAAACATTCTTTAACCATCTTCATACTTTAAAAAAGTACCTAAAAGAACCAGAAAACAGTAAGGTCTGAGTCGCTTTCTAAAATTAACTGGGAAGATCCATATGCTGAATACTATGTGACTGTTCCCAACCACTAATCATTGCACAAAAAATACACATTATTCCTATAGGCCCCAGAGCAAATTCACTTACTACCCTCTGGCAGCAGTGTAGAAACCAAAGAGTTTTTTGGTTTTTTGGTTTTCTACTATAAAATTATTTTCTCCGTTGTACCAAAAATACATATTCATTAAAGAAAATTCAGAGAACACAGAAAAATAGAAAGGAAAACATTAAATTATGCCTAGTCCTAACTTAAGTACAACTCTTTATCCTTCTTTAGTAGCAATGCTTTTCTAAATGTATTTTTTTTCAAATTGCTGCTTTTATCACTTGACACTTTTCAATGTCATAATAACAAAACAAAAACACCACTTCTTAAGGACCAGGCCTTTTCTATAAGTTTTCGATGTTAACTCATTGTGACAATCCTATAGGGAAGGCCTGTACTCACCAACACTTTACAGATAAGGAAACTGAACTGTTTCCTAGGATCTAGGCTGGAAATGGGCTACCCTGGCTCAAAATCCATGCTCTTTTAACCAAATCACATACTGCCTCTTGAAAAATATTGGAAGCATTCTTCCATAAAGAATAGTTTTCAACTGGACAAGCTATACATACACCCTTATAAAAGTGACTCCTTCACTTTAAATAGATTTTCTTTCCTGGTAACTGCAGAAGTACAGAAGTACAGAAGTCAAAATGCTCCTTATCAACTGTAACTGATAAGATGCTAGCAATATGTTTTCTCTTTGTTACTTTCTCTGTTATGATCTTTAAAGCTTAAATACATATATTTAATATTATATATATTTAATAGATAATATATATATTATTTAACATTACCAGTCTGTCCATATGCAAAGATACATGCATTGTAACCATCAAAAGCATTCTGAAGGATATTCTCCCCAAGGCACTTGAAAACATCATCTTGACCTGAAAGAGAGAGAGAGAAAAAGAAGAAAGGGTATTTTACTGATGGGTATTAAGGAGGGCATGTGTGATGAGCACTGGGCATTATATGCAACTAATGAATCACTGAACACTACATCAAAAACTAATGATGTACTATATGCTGGCTAATTGAACATAATAAAAAAATTAATTAATTTTAAAAGAAAGAAAATTTTAAGCCAAAACTACATATGAACAATTTTTTTGAAAACTAAAAACAACCCCCTTAAAAATGAACTTTTTCAAATTGGCTACCTCCAAACAAGATTTTTAGACCTGATAAATGCTTCCAAAAGCTTATGGCCTTCGAGTATTTCTAGTTAGCACATGATAGGAAATGAGTAAAAAGTTCCTGATGATATGAACTTGAATTAATAAACACTAGACAAAAATCCTCTGCAATGCAAAAAGCTAACGAACTGCTAATTTTATAAACAACGATTATAAATATCTAAAATTCATACTAGGGACCTCCGTGGACCTGAATTCAACTGTATATCACCAGCTAATGCTTTATTTAGTGGGCACTAGAATTCAAAACAATCATACATATCAATCTCCTCTCCTTTTCCTCAATGATAATTTTTATTAATAGGGCCTATGATACATATACTACCTAGAGGAGGGAAGAATATCTTGAAAATGTCTTCTAGCTTTCAGTCATGAACAAAAATAATAGGTTCAAATTCTCCTCCACAGGCTAAATTAAATATGTTAATAAAACAAAGTCATTCAACCTCTCTTTGAGTCTTGAATATACTATGAAAGAACTGGATGTTGTTATGTTTGTTATACTTTGAATGCTATAAATAACATTCCATTATGCCCCACTTCCTAGTTAATTTCCCAGATTAGTATATCATCATCTTACTTCCGATACAGAAGCAATCCGTAAGCAATCCATTGAGCCAGCTAGAGCAAATTAACCTGAGCTTTTTGAACCTGCTATAGTACTACTCTGTCTCATGACAAAAGCCAATACAATTATGACCCTCAATATTTAAAAGATCCTGCTTAGAAACAGGTGTCATAAGCAGTTATGAATGAAGCACATTAAAAGGCTGGCCCTGCAGTCCTAAATTTGTGGTGTAAAGGAGCTTGAGACAGTCTTGTTGAGGAGGGTAAGGGAGTAACAGAATTCCGAGGAGGCAGGAGCAGAGCCTAGACTAAACCACAGGTTTCCTCTTCCCCTTGCTCAACTTTCCTATACCAAGTCGCCTCTCTAGACCGCATCACAGACATCTAAGGGAGTCTAAGTGGCTACTGTGTGCTCCACGTCCCATGTAAGGTCTGGGAATGTGTTTGATAACCTCAACTGTGTACAGCACACTGTCAATCTCCTATTTCCCCATCAATGTAAAAACAGCAGAGACAGGAGGAAATTCTTAATACAGTTCTTAAAGTTACACAAAATAATGCTGTGATACTTTATGGGAAAAAATTAAAACACCTTTTCTATAGTAGTTAATAGGATGCTGTACTTACCTGCATACTTTTCTCTGACTGATTCATCCATAGACCAGAAACAGTGATCATATGCAAACACCTGTTGAAAAACAAAAATATGGTATATACTAAGAACAAAACCTTAACATACTTATAATATTATAACAGTGTTATAACACTGATAATGCTGTTCATAGTAGTGAAATAAAAATACCTTACTGTCTTAACAATGGAGGTTAATTGAATTATTTATGGTACAGTTTTACAATGAACAACTAAGCATCCTGTAAATGATACCGACCTTTATTTCACATGGAAAACCCTTCACGATGTTAAGTGAAAAAAGGGGTTACAAAACCCATAATATCATGACTATCATATACACATATACAAACAAACACATACATAGTTACATATAGAAAGTTTATTTCTGCATGTAAGATTAGTGATCTTTGTCTTCCTTTTGTTTTTATGTATTCTCTTACATTTTTACTTTCTCAGAGAAAATAAAGATATTTTTATAAGAATGAAATGTAAAGATGATTACTATGGCAAGTTGAAAGTAGTTATAAAATAGCAGATTCAAAAAATCAACACACCCATGTGCAATATTGCACAGCTTCAAGACTGCAGAATACTGGTAAGAAAATGTTCCTGGATTAATGTAAAAGTTATGAAAGTCTGGACCATGATCCCATGTTTGTACCAAAATCTATACAGATAAAAAGCTGTAAGAATACACACTGGAATATGGTTAGTGGTTAATACCACCTGGTGGGACATCATAGATGATCTCTGTTTGGATCTTTTACATTTACCACTTGCCAAAATACGCATACTTCTTTTTTTTTGCAATCTTTTAAGTTTTTTTCACTGAATTTCTTCTTTTGGATTTCATATTTATAATTAAGTCTCTAAGGATTTTAACTGTAATCGTTTTTAAACCTTTTTTTTTGTTTGAGAGAGAGTGCACGCACAAGTTGGGGGGCAGGGACAGAGGAAGAGGGAGGGAGAGAAGCAGACTCCCCACTGACTGCAGAGCCCAAGGCAGTGCTCGATCCCAGGACCCTGGGATCATGACCTGAGCCCAAGGCAGACGCTTGACTGAGCCACCCAGGCGCCCCAAGTGTAATTGTTTTTAAAATCATTTCAGCTTGTAGTTCAAACTCTCCAATTTTTGGGTCTGTTGCCTCTCTTCCTGTTGACAGTTTTCCTCTTGGGCCTTTATGTCAGTTTGCAAGTGCATCTTAATTGGGAGTTTGTGTTTTATGGTTTACGTGGTTGCTTGTTTTTTTCCTCTCTCTCTGGCCACCTTTTACATGACTAGCCACACTGCCACTCCCAGCTACGGAAGCCCAGATTTTGGTCTTCCCGAAGTCCAACGTCTCCACGCCCTCCAATCTACACATACAGCTCAATGTTGGTGGCCAGAATCCTTTCCTTAAGGCTTCATTTATGTTGGAGCCTAACTCAAATCAGTTTTCACTGATTTTTCCAGTCTTTACCCATACATCAGGCCCCCTCTAATCTGCAAGAGGTGAACTAATCACCTCTGAGAACCTGCCTCTGATCCCAACACCCAGTAAATACAGGGCTTCAGCTAGTCCCTGAAGTTACATTATGTTGTTTTTGAATATGATGACATGATTTTAGTATTTTAAAAATATTTTCTTTGTTCCTGCTATGAGTTTGGAGTTGGTAGGAGATTACATCTGTCTGAACTCACAGGCTACCTGGACCAAAGGTCTAAAAGTTTTTTAAAGAAAGGAAATTAGATTAAGGTGGTAAATTAAGTATACATGCCTATATCCCTCTCCCACCTGAAATCAACTCAAAATGATGGAGGGAGATAGGAAGTGGAAGGGCCAAAAGGAGAAAGAAGAGGGGAAAGGAGAATTAAGTTTTTGAAAGCTAGATTTCTTGCTTGTACCTAGATGAGAAATTAAGACTCCCTGAAAAATAGTTGCAAGGAGACCGATGAGGGACAGAATGGGGTGGAGTGGGGGCCACATGGAGACCACAGGCCAAAACACTGCAGAAGAATATGGCTGCAAAGTAAGACCCGTTCTGGAAGGGCACCAGGGGAACAATTAAATGAGCAACCAGAGAGCCCTGGGGACAACCACCAGGACAACTGGTTAAGAAGACCTTTAAAGCAAAAAATGATCAGAACACTCATACCTTTTTGCAAAACATCAGGCAAGGGAGGCGTCTCTTCCCTGGAAGCGGGCAGTGATGGGCTAGCTAGGCCCAAAAGGCCAGGCGAAGCCCAATGGCTGAAAATACCCAGGAAGAGGCAAGAGCCCTGGAGCCCAGAAGCTATCAACTGGCTAAAGCGCTGTGTTGTACATTACAACGCTCCACATATTTCCAAAGCTAAACATGTATCTGTCAAGAGTGGTGGCTCACTGTGTTAACAACACTCCAACAGGGAGGGGGAAGAGGAAAAGAAAAAGGAAGATGGAAGGTGGTCCCAAAGGACTGTGTATCACAATTTCGGTAGGGGGCTGCTTTTCAAGCTACATTCGTTCAGCCATAGTGAGAATCATTACAGCATGGTGAGAATAAATAAAGTATGAAGTTCAAATTAAGTTTCTTCTGTACTAGCTTTCAACTCTCATCTCTTATAATTTTATTTAATTCTGTTCTCAGCAAGGTTAAGCAGAAACTATCCTTCTTTTTTTGTAAGCTTAGCTCTCACTTCCAAGGTGCCATCACCATATGTGTGTACTTATCAGAGAGTAGGCTCTACATGACACTCTTCTCTCAATTATTATGGGTTTTTCTTTCTTCTCTTTTTTTTTTTAATTTAGGGATTTCCTTAACAACTGCATTTCTAAATCTCAATTCCAGTAGAGAAGCTACTATTAAAGTAACCATTACAATAGCCAATACAGGTGCTAGGCCCTGTTCATGGGACGCTGAGGTACAAAGAAGTGAAGAACCTGATGGCTGGCAGGTGGGGAAGCTGGGATTGGAAACCAGCCTTTCCGCCAAGAAGCTGTTCATCACTAGGCTAGATTGGCTCCATTCCCCAAATTATATGAAAGCACTGCAGCCTGGTACAAAGTTAGGAACTAATGAACACTTAGTTCTTACTTACAGTGCTGAATGGTCCTCTTTAAGTCCTAGCAATTTTGCTATTATAGGAATCTTTAAATTGTTATAGGAATCGTCAGCCAAGAATTTCCTAAAGCAGACAAGCTCTTTTCTTTCTAAATGTTATTCTTTTAAAATTAAAAAAAAAAAAACTTTTTTCAAGTAACAGTAAAGAAAGACACATTCATTGCACGAATTTAAATAACACAAAAATATAAAGTGAAAAATAAAGGTCTCCCATTCACCAAGATACCTCTCCCTAGACATAACCACTATGTTAATAATGTGGTGTTGGTCCTTCCATACTTTTTATGTCAACATTTTCTCTAAACATTAAGACACAACTGAATTAAATAAAACATGAATAGTTTTTAAATGGCCGTGTAATGTTTCCTCACATCTTTACTGCAATCTCCAGTCTCTGGCTCCATCAAAAAATCAGGAAACAGAAATAATCCAATACCTTTTCACAGAAGAGATTAAACTAATAAAGTTGATTTTTACCTTTATAAAGAAATCCAGTGCCATATTAAACTATTAAAAAAAATTACTCGGTCCCCAAGAGCCGTGTCTATACATATTTTAGCAACAACAGAGAATGGAATTACAATTCAACCACAGACTCAAAAACAAAATCCCAAGAATGTAGATAAAAATCTGAATTTCCTGACAAGTTCCAAGTAATGGCAGCAAATGGTCAATTCAAAAATATAGTCCTTGTGCCCGCTTTGGCACACCTATAAATTCCTTGAGAGATACAAGAACTGATGCACTCCATTGAAGTTTCTTTAGAATCTGGGCTCAAATCTAAAATGAGGCACATTTGCCTGACGAAGCTGTGGCCTGAGAATGTGTGTCCCCAGCTGTCAGGGGAACAACATAGATGAGTCTGCCTAGCACAGTTCTGACCACAGTCTGGAACGACCAGTTTCGAGCCAATCATGGTGAACAGCAAAGGACAAAAGGAATCTGTGTTGTAGTTGCCAGGAAACTGGCCAGAATTGGTCAAAGTACAAATACAGCTTTTCCATAAACTTCCAGTCCCTCCTATGCCAATAAATGATTTCGGATTTATGAACAGGCTGACAGCTTGCATTACTTTTACCAAAGTGACAGAGAGAAAATATTTTTGAGAAGAAAATTACCAGTACTTAAAAAATACGCACATAAGATCTTTACAAACATTGCATAATAAAGCAAATCTCTTACCTTTGGCTGGCTTCTGCATTTCCAAAAGAGATGTCATTGTGGACATGAAAGAAGAGGGAGAGAGTTAAAAAATTTTTTTTTGGTTAGAAGACAATTTTGAAGGGTAAAATGAAAATAAATACCATGTAAATTTTTAGTAAGAATACAAAATATTAACCTTGAAATCAAATAGCAATTTAAAATAAAGGATAAATTAATAACCTCGAACTTGCAGGGTAGAGTCCTTAATTATAGAAAACTAACTTGTATCTCTCAGTAAAAAGAAACATTATCTGAGCACTGGATAATTTTTAAAGTCCTAATATTTCTGCCTTATGCATTCTGCTTATCCTTATATCAGTCTTGCAAGTATATAATTTAAACAGTTTTTACTTTCTATCATCTGATTTCACTTCCAAGTAGTTTTCTCTGCTTTGATACAGCAGCAGCTCACTAGATAGGGCCTTCTATAAAAAAATGAATTCTGCTCTGGATAAGGAAAAAGGTTAAAGGAACAACTGTGAATTACTACTTACTGAATTACTCACTTATTATCTATTGATCTATGCTCACCCAGGGGCTTCTAACCTCCCTCACCCCAAAACTATGACTCATACCTCCTCAGGGTACAGAGATATAACTAAGCCCAGTATACTTTGGAGATAGATTTAT